ATGCCTTATTTATTTTCTCTATATTGAACTGAAATTCCATCATTTAATCTTGTAATATAGTTTAGTTCTGAATAGTTTTTTTTTTCTCTCATTGTAAACTAATTCTGTAAATTGAACTGTTATTTAAAATTAAAAAAAAAAAAAAAGTAATTATTTTCCATGGTTGAGGTAATGCTTATTCTCTCTTAATAAATACTGCATTTCTCATATTTTAAATTGCAATTCTAATTTTTAAGGTTATGCAGTTGTGTATGATGTAATTAGACAGGTGCTTATTTTTTTTCTTAAAATGTGCTTGAAAAGTGCTTATAGGTGCTTATTTTTTTAACTAAAATGTGGCTATGAACCCTGGTAGGGCCATTGCACCCTTTTTTGGCCAAAAGTCAGTAGCTTTCTTCCCAGGAATCCCGCAGATCTTGGAAATAAAGTTCCTGATTCTCAAGTGCCTGAAGTAGAGGTGGAAGAAAGTGAAAAGGTTGGTAGAGACTGATAGTGAAGTTACGAAGTCGCAGTCAGCAAGTATTGAACCATCTGAAAATCCATGTGATGCTGAGATGATAAGCTGATATAGCTTAACCAGAGTGTTCCAGTATTGCAAAAAAATACACCTACTTCACAAAATGTGTGTCTCATAACACAAGTTGTACAGACACAAACTTGATTCTAAACCAGGATACTTCCGTTTCTAAAGAATCGGATTCTCTTCATAACTAATGCAACATCGAACTGGTTTTCAAGAAATAGAGGAAAATAAGCATTTACTAACTGCTAAAAGTACCGAGGTGCTCTGTACACATGATGTGGATTAACTACAGAGTGGTGAGTAAACTGCTTCAGATCTTCCTGTGAAAAAGTCTGAAAGGACTGAATCTTCAAACTGTGATATGCAGAACAAAAATATATCTGAGAACGGCAGAGAAAAAGTATTTAACTCATGTATAACTTAATGAAAAGCCCAAGACTGAAATTCATTCTGAACTTTATAAAATTTAAAATTGTTATGTAGTTAATTTGTGTATATAACTGTAAATATTTTTCTGTTTCTCATATTTTTGTTTACTTTGTTTTGTTAACTTTTGAATTTGGCTTCTGGCTAGGGATTGTACTGCCCGGGATATGCAGTCCTTGGGAGGGGGCAGTGCTACGAAATCCCTAGCTGCAGTGTCCCGCAAAGTGGGTTTGTGGGAAATCTATCTTACCAGAAAATGGCAAGGACAGGTGGGGTTGCCAGATTTCGGGCAAAATCGTTCATTTGGTGACAAAATTGGCTATATGCCATGGACAGAGTGAGAACATTCTAGAATGAGTTCTTACCAGTTTACCCCCAGAATGTTCTTGAAGGCAGGCCATAAGCTATATAAACAGTGCTGGTAAATGGAATAGCAGTCTATCTTGGGTGCATTGTGAGTTTATCATCGAGTGCATCATGAGTTTTATTGTGGAGAGTATCTAGAGTACCTTAAGTACTAGCATCTTGAGCTCTGGGTGCAATCGACTGAATCAGGAGTGGAGTTTAATGCTTTGCTGTAAGCTTTCTTGTTGCTGTTTGTTTCAGCATAGTCTTTTCGACGACTGTGAACATGTTTTTGAAGCTGTCCTGAGTAATACTGGCTAATAACTTGTTTTCTCATTTTTCATCAAGTGTTGTCATCAGTCACTCCAAATCCACAATATTTATTACCTTTTGCTATGGATTTTTTAGGAAAAAGAAAAATATCTTTTCTTATGGTGTCTCAAAAGACTGGAAGCCACTCTTCTTTCAGGCTTTGGAATCTTTGCTGATACTCCATCGAGCAAATTAAAAGTCATGGGTAAAATGATATATCTTTAATAAGTAATAGGGAGAAATCTGGATTAAAAAAATGATATAAAAAAAAACGAAAAATTCCACTGTTTTTTTTTGTAATTTGTAATCATTCTGAAACTATTAGGAAAAGTTGAAAATCTGCAAAAGCTTAATTTTTATGGCTGAAACACTAGCTGCTGTTTACAGCCTGAGGATCAAAGGATAAATGGAATTTGCAAAACATCTTGGAACAAAATTTTTGTTGGGTTAGAACAGTGGTTGGCAAACTCATTAGTTAAAAGATCTGAAAATCAGCAGTACGAGTAAGATTTCTTTTAAGAATCAGCAGGTTTTCAGGAGTAGATTTGTACTAGTTGCTGACATTAAATAAAATCATATGTCATAATAATAATCGTATTAGTTGACAAATATACACTGACTACCAATAAGTATTTGGACACCTATGCAAATGACGATATCTGCAGTCCTAAGGTACGTCACGGACTCCGCCGGTATATATCGTGTAGGAAACAGCATCGGCTTTAGTCGCATGCAAGATGCCTCGCAGTTTGGAGCTCTCTGATTTCGAGAAAGGTATAATTATCGGGTATCACAAATGTGGCCGATCCTTAAGGGACATATCTGGCGATCTGAAGTACCCAAAATCGACAGTGGCCTATGTGATTGAGAAGTGGAAAGTGAGCGGTGATTGTCGGAATGTGCCCCGAGTCGGCAGACCAACGAAACTGGGAGATAAAGACTGGCAAGTGCTGTCCAGAGAAATTCGGAAGAACCGCACCCAACCGATGGCCCTCATCCGCGAGGAGTTTTCACAGGCATCCGGGAGTATTGTTTCAATGAATACCATCCGTAAGGAAGCACATCTGCTTGGTTTTCATGGTCGTGCTGCTGCCCTGCTTTTTGTTTACTGTTCTGTCAGACAGTAGAAACACTTTATTTATTTATTTATTTATTGAAGAATTTCTGTTTCTGCCATGTTCTTAAAATCCTGGAATAGTTATCTGGATACATTTATTAAACAACTTTTAATGTAATCATTGTTTGTGTATGGTGTGTCTCTCTTACCAATCTCTTGGCCAAAAGTAAAGCTTGTAATATTAACATTGTTGGAAAATTGCATCCAGGAATCGATACAGGATTAGATTTTTATTGACTCTTCTCAAGATCCTCAACTACTTTCTTCCTTGCATCACCAGTGGGATATTTACTGCCAACTCGTGCTTATTTAGTTGTAAAGTGTGTTTTTTAATTTTTTATTTATTTATTTATTTATTTATTTATTTATTTTTTTATGTGCTAGTTTTTCTTAACAAATAAGACAGTTTGGAAGGCAATTTCAGTTTTGTATAAACATGAATGAAGCGGTCAGTTCAACTATAAATTTATGATCGCCACCTTTCGTTTTTCTTTGCTTCTTCTTTGTACCCATGCGAAATAGGTGGCATCTAAAAATGTTTCATTTTATAACATTAAAAGAAGCAACACAAAGTTAAAACAACTTATTAAATTGGTGCAAAAAATACCTGTGAGATCTGTAGCTGATTGAAAGATATATGTAACTTATTCTCATCACTAGGGCAAGGCTTTCAGCACTGCACTCACTGGTGGACAAGGCATGCCTTACTTACACAAATTTTCACTTCAGTGCAAGTGGTTGAAGTCAAACTTTCTGTATTTCTACAGTCACTATAAATTTTTACTCCTATATCCATAGGGAATAGGAGACCATATAAAAAGTCAGTTAATGTGATTTTTATAAAATTAGTTTTTTTTATATATATAAATTTAAAAATGTGAAAACGTGAATATTTGAGTCATTAGAAACTTTTTTGTTACTGGAAGTGTATGTGTACAACCTACAGTTGCAGAAATAAGGGTCATGTATGGACTTTTATGGCTATGTTGTATATATAAATTCTAAATGAGGTAAAACATGCATTGTGTGTATCTTACTTAGTTTTTGTTTTTGTTGAGTTAAAATGGTTCAGGATGCATTGAAATTGAGATTTCAAGATTTCATTTTTGATGATTTAAAAAAAATAGTAAAAATAAATAAATAAAATGCTGTTAGTATTAGAAGTGAAGACTATATATCATATTTCATCTAAAAAGAAATTGCATCTTTGGCTCGCAAATTTCCAAGTTAAATGAGCTTTTCTGTTTTTATCTTAAGTATTTCATTTGGTAATTGTAGTTGAAATGTAGAAATGAAATTTTTAAAATTTAGTTTTCTGTCCATTTCTTATTCTACATTTAAATAAATTTCAGCCTTAGTTTAACTTTAGTTTTCTGAAAGCGTTGTGTATTTTGAGATAAAATAACATTGTTTATCTTCAAGAAGCAAAAATATAAAACCAAAGTAAAATGATATTTCTAAGAAATGTAGAGATTTTGAAAAAAAGTCTTCAAATGAGGAAAATATATATATATACACACACATTGTAATTAAATTATATTAATTTGTAATTTTTCAAAGTATAACAAATAAGGGAAAGAGTAGGTAGAGAACCTGAAAAAAAAAAAAAAATTAGAACTTAAGAAAAAGTGAAGTTGCCAAAGATATTATAACAGTGATTGAACTATTTATACTCATGCAGGGAATGGACCAAAGTAGCTCAGTTTCCCGTTCTTATTTCTCAAGAAAACCTCATTGGCATGTGATGAATTTTCTTGACACCAAAGTTATGAAGCAAATAAACTGCGTAGGGAAATCTCATCCAGAACTTAATAGTACACCGTTTGAAAATCTGGTTGCTTTGTGAATTTTTCCTCCTGGAATTCTCAGCATCTTGAAAACATATTAATGAAGAAGGAGAAATTATTTTGCTTGATCAGTCACTTTACTCAGAGGAGCAAATTACTTCATAATATGTGTGTATGAATTTGGAAGATCATGTTCCCATTTGACATGAAAAATCTACATTTTTTTTTTTAAAGTAATAATATTTTTCTGGAATTTTATTGCCATATCTTCTTTTTAAGCATTTTTTTTTCATTTTTATTTGTTTTATAATATAGTTCTGTATGTATTTTATTCACTTTGTATCTCTGTGTTGTGATGTAATGCATTACCTCTCTAAAAAATTATTGAATAAGTTCTTTGAACTTTAGTTGATAGTTTTTCAGAAATCAGTTCATTAAAAAGTAACTTTGGACATGTCTCGTAATTGGTGTGTATTTAATCACTTTGTAGGGTTACAATACTTGGTGCTTCCAATGGGGGCTTGCTGGTTGGTGCCTGCATAAATCAGAGACCAGATTTATTTGGTTGTGCAATAGCTCAGGTCGGGTAAGTAAAATCTGCCTTGATTGAGATTCATTCATTTAATCTTCATTTGTTGCAATAAAATAAATTTGTGTGTGTACAGTTGTGGGAGGAGGATAAATTCTAAAATATACAGGAAATAAACAAGATGTATATTTATGAGACTTTCAGATTTTTAACAAGACTTCTCAAAGAATATTTTCTTCTATTTATTCAATGTTGATACTATTATATCTATGTAAATTCTGTAACTTGCTATCACAAATGCCCGCAGAATATTAAAACAAAAAATGACTCATTTTTTAAAAACTAAGTTTGTTACTGTAACAAGGAATGCTATTGAAATTGTTGGATAATCGAAGTTCTACTATATAGTATTTTAATTTTTTTCATGTAATTCTTGTTAGATTATTTTATATAATATGTTTATGTATATATACTTTGTGCATGCATGTTTGTTTAAAGAATTCCTACAGCAGTAATCCTCCTTTACAGTACCTAATAAATTTAGTTAATAGTAAATGTGCATCAGTATAAAGCCTGTATTAACTTAATGGTAGCACTGTTATTTAGGCACATGTAATCTGCAGTGGTTCATATGCAGAAAACTAAGATACATGTTTTCCCTCCGTGCAAATAAATATCCCTTCATCACCTCTGTGGGATCATCTTGACTAGGTACTGCCGAAGTGGGGATTTGATCAGAAGGGCAAGGTGCTGTATATCCCTTTTTGATGTGCAGTTGTCTTTTTACATATAAAATTTTTCTTTCGTATTTGTTCAGTTGAAGTAAAGTACAGAGTAAAAAGCCATAAGAAACTTCAAAGAATCTGTTAAAATTTAATTATAACTGAAATCCAGACTGTGCTGCCTCTCCAACAATGCATAATCAGTAGTATCAATCTAATAACAAACATGAACAGATATTTTCTTCAGTATACAGCAGATCAGTAATCTTGTCTTACCACAAATCCTTAAGTGATCTTACAGTTAAACATTGTGTGATGTCTTCTTAAAACTTTTGGAAGAGCTTCTTTACACTCATCCCTTTAGTTATGTCTTGGAAAAGCAATGATGGTTTGGCAAATTTGAATAAAACAGTTTCAGGACCAATCAGAGATACAGGATCCTCTTCAAGAGAGAGAGTGAAAAAGCTGTCAAAGAAGAGGGATCTGTGTCTGATCATTCCTGTAGTTTACTCCTGGAGAAGAGTGACCTTGAAATCAGTATAGTTTTATTCAAATTGTAGGTCGAACTGAGGATTTTATTATTATTGTTATTGGCCTAAGCAATGTGTTGCATATTTTAACTTCCAATTTAATCAGTATTGCTATTTTTAATAACAGTACTGGATGGAAATACCCCCAAACTAATTTTACCTCTTCCCCAAAACCCTGTGGTTATGGAAATAATTTTTTGATTTTTTTATGTCATAAAATTATGTAATTTTTCATTGCGCTGTTATCTGCCTACTTCTGCTATAACAAACATAAAACATTTAGATGTGAAAAGTTGAATAAAAGTTCCTTTTAGGTGTGCTTTCTAATGGTGATACAAAAAAGCTCTAAAAGAATAATGAATTAGAACCACTCTGGTCTTAGTATGGGTAGAATGTATTCACGATTTTAGAATATTTTTTTTTATCTAGTAGTACTTGAGTCACACTTAAATTAGCACGAGGTGTTAAATATGGCTGTAATTTATAAGTTTAGCCTTTCATTTGATTTGTATATAAGCTGCAGAAGGAAGTTGCTGAACCTTTCTAAAATTTACTTATCCCATTAACTCATTAGTGTAAATCCTTTATGAAAGCTGTGTTATCATACCTTTTCATGCATTTCCTAATGAATACTGTTACAATAATTGATTTTCTTTCTGTCCACATTTTTTTTTTGGGAGGGTAGCAGATAAACTGAAAAGCAATTTAATAAATAGCTGGTTGTATTAAAATTTTGAGCTGTGCAAAGCGTGGAAGTGACGTAAGCAGCAGTTTGAAAAGATAAAGAGTGCTGGTCACTGTATCAGTCATAGTCAAAAGCAAAATGGGTAAGAGTACAGATATAAGCGCATTTGATAGTGGTCAGATCATAGCCCAATGAATGAGTCACTCTATTTCTGAAGTAATGCAGACACTCGGGTTTCACACATCACTTGGTAAAGGATGTACCGTGAGTGCTGATTCTGGTAAAACCATCGCTGCCAGAGTCAGTTGCTGCAGACAACCAAAATGACCAAGGTCAGTGGTGGCTAGTCTGCATTATAACAGCTGATAGACGGGCCATAGTGCAATAGCTCACTCGTCAATTTAATGCTGATGCATAGCAATGTGTTAGCCACACCATACAAAACCATGTCCTCTTGATAAGTTGTTGTATTAGAGTCCCTCTGCTGACTGCACAAAACATAGTGCAACTCTTAGCATGTGGAGGGGAACATCATCATTGGATTGCTGAAATATTGAAAAATGTTGCCTGGAGTGATGACTTGAGATTCACTTTGGTACATGCTGATGAGAGAGTAAAAAGTACAGTGTAAACCACAAGAAGCGGTGGATCCTTCCTGCCAGCAGGGGACTCATCTAGCTGGTGGAGGCGATATTATTTCTGGAAGTGTTCACATGGACTGAAATGGGAGTCCCTTAATATGTGTGACATTGTCTCTCACAGGTGAATGTTACCAGGATATCCTTGATGACCCATCTGCTCCCATATATTCATTTTTGACAGTCTATGACAGAGATTATCTTTCAACAAGATAATGCACCATGCCATCACTTCTGAATTATATCTGAATGGTTGAATAAATGTTCCACAGACCTGCATGTGCTTTCCTGGCCATCAAGGTCACCTGACCTGATCCGATCAAGCACATCTGGATTGTAATTGAGAGGGATGTTTGAGGCTGTGACCACCTTCCATCTAATCTTAATGAATTATGGGAGGTTGTTTAGGAATCGTGGATATGTATGGCTTCCCACCACTTCCATTGTCTTGTTGAGTCAATGCCAAGACAATATACAGCCGTCATCAAGCGAAAGGCGGTGCTATGCACTACTAGACAGGTATCCCTAATTCAGTGACTTTTGAGTATGTGTTTCTCTGCTCTAGAAACTGCAAATTTTTCTTTGTATGTGTAAATTGTGTTTAAAGGGGGCTTCCATTTGTTAATAAAAATATTTAATTGTTTTGGATACCAAGTTATGTGAAAATGGCTTGCTAGTGAGCACAGTCCTGTTTCAAAGAGAGTTGATAATGTTGCTTAATAGAGGATGACTAAGGAAATTGTATCTTTATTACAGTTATTCTTACAAAAGTATTCCAAGACATTGCATGTGTTAAGCATTTGTAACAGGATAATTTTTTTGAATTGTGTAAGTTGAATCTCTGTTTGAATGCAAGCTGTTGGTTGGTAAATCATTAAAACCAAATGTTACATCACTGTGAATTATTTCATGCTTTTCCAATCTGATGGTCATTATTGGGTATAGCAAATACTTGTTGAGTATCAGGTGCCATATTGTATATAGTCTGTAGTCCCACCTGCAACATTTTAAAGTGATAGGTCAAAGCTGTTTGTTGGGACTTTGGTTGATATGGGGAGACAAACTTCATGACGAAAAGAGCTGCATGACAAATTTTATAAAAGATCTGCAAACCCCCATATTTATACCCTTTAAAAAATAATAAGACAGGTTTTCAATAGAAAGAAACTTTTGAAGTAAATTAATGAGAATTTCTCATTTTATATGTTATTAACATGGTTACATATAAATATAAATAAATAAACATAATCTCTCCCACTTCGTGTTCAGGATAGTAAGTTCCAATAAACTATAAATGAACTATTGTACTAAGCCACTGACCATTCCTTAAGACAAATAAAGCAAACATTTTGTTCTGGTTCTCTTTATTCTCTTCTTTTATAATTGTTTGATTTCAGTTCTAAGCTAAAATGGCAAGAATATGTATTGGCCTTTAAGAATACAATTATGTAAAACATTTTTCATTTGACTGAAATGATAGAACAATTCTTGCATTATGTTATAGGAGACTGTTTTCTCACCCATTGATTTGCAAAATTTTTTTCAACTAGCCTCATAAATATCTTCAACTTTAATCCACAAACCCTTATCATGCGTCAAACCTATTTTGTAATTGATTTTTTAGTAGAATGACTGATATTTGTGCTATTGCTTGCAATATACACTGGACATATTCTCAGCAAAAAAACATGAATATCTTGGAAGTATTTTGGGTTTCCATGGGAATTTTTTAAACCGAATTTTCCTCTGGTCAGTGGGGCATTAATAACTTCTAATTCTCTTTTGGAACTATCACATTAAAGAATGAATAACATTATATGCTTTACATTCTTGATAACTAATTAAATATTCTTCCAGCATGTAGTTGTAGCCAAAAGCTGAACCCTCTTCAGATTTCAGCAAAAGCAATAGTTGTGATTGGTGACGTACAATACATTTACATTAATTCACGAAGGCGCTATTTTGATATAGCTTTGATTTTGATAGAAGTATTGTTAGCTTGTATTTTACTTGGATTTTTCTCTTTTGAAAAACATAAGAGAAAGTTTCCATAAGCACAGGCCCTAATTTCTAAAATTAGAAATGCCAGAGCCCTGTGGAAGACTGTCAAGAAAGAACAAAAATAAATTAAAAGATAAAAGGGCTAGTGAAATAATTAATAATGAAACTTAATTATTTAATTTAAATAATTAATGATCAGAATAAGTAAACAATTAATATTAAAATGTAAAGAGATAAATAAAAATATAATAAGTTATTAAATAAAAGGTAGAAAATTAAATATTAAAGTAATGTACTGGACTTATTTGGGTTTCAGCTGGAATTATAATTTCACACAAAAAGCAGGAAATATCTCAACCAGTGTTCGGTTTAATTTATGCTCTGAATATAATGTACTACTTCAAAGGATGACAGAAATCAAGAACGTTCTTTTTCCAGCACAACAATGAAAGACGTTAGTGGTTAAAGCATCACTAATAAAAATACAGAGAATGATATAAACCATAAGAGAATATGGAGAAAATTTTAACGGATGACCTATAGGAATGGGAACAAAAAGAGAGTCCAACATTTTCTGACCACGATTTCCTTGCATTATAATTCTAACTGTCAAGCAGAATATGACAGGAGAATAAATTTTCACGGAATCTTAGAGTTAGCTAAAAAAAAAAGTAACAAGTGACAATTTTTGTCCCCCACTCTTGGTTACATCGTTTAAAAGTCTGTAGGTGCTCTGTTCCATGGGAATACACTTGCGCTGGAACAGAAAATTTACCCGCCGTCATAAATTCATTGTACTTTCTGGAGAATAAGCCTTCGACGTGTGGGTGGGTGGGGCTTTTCTTTCTTTAAAAATCTCGACCTCCATCCAAGGGTTTATTTCCCAAGAAAAGTGAAGCTTGCATTCAGAAGTTAAGAGTCAATTTTTAATGTAATTTTATTATTAAAAATAAAAATTTTGAGATCAGATGTCTGCTGAAATGGTTGTTGCTCATTAACCCGTTCGCGATGGGCACCTCTGTTACCGAAGCATCTCTTGGGACGGCGCGTTAACCAGATGTGTTGTCCTGTGGGGACAGGCAATTTACGCTGCTAAGCCTACTTTTGGAAAAAAATTCATATGAATGAATTTTCTCATCCAATTTTGGGCACATTTGGAGAAGAACATTCAGGTAGTTGTCAGAATTAAATTTAAGCCTTTATTATTATATTTTCCTTAAAAACTTTATAAAATATTGATTCTAGAATAATATAATTTTCCCCTTATCCCACAAATAAATATATATGGAAAAATATCCAAACAAACGCAGATTTTATTTAACACAACACACAATTAAAATTTTAAATATATTAAAACTGTCTTTCATAAAAATTCAATGCTAAAAACAACGAAAAGAAGCAATATTTCAAAAAAGAGACAAGTGTATGAAGAAAGAAGAGACAAGTGTATGATATTCTTTCAAGGCAAGTGTATGATATTCAAAAAGAGACAAGTGTATGATATTCTTTGAAACATGGGTGTACGCAAAGTCCAACGTTGCATTAGCCACAGGGATATAATATCTGCTGCTATTTGACTCATTTAGCATTTGTATATATTCTACGGTCAGATAGTGCTTTTGTTTTGCCATTAAAAAAAAAAAAAAGCCTTTCGCTAAGCAATGCAAAGTATTCGTCTCAGTGCCGGAAAACTCAAAGAGTAATAAAAAAGTCTCTAATGATTCAACATCTACTCCACTATAACCGATAAAATAATAAAATAAAAATAAGAAAAATTAATAAATTAAATTAAAAGTATTCCAGAGCATCGAGAACATGTTCATTTGTTTATATAAAATGACGTAGTAAGAGCCGTTACATTACTCAACACTAACGAACTAGCGATTGTGTATATTCTAAGTGTAGATACTGCTTTCGTTTGCCATTAAAAACAGATACGTTTTGCTGATGATTAAAAATATTCATCTCAGAGCACGAAAAATCTAAGAGTAATAAAAAAATCTCTAATGATAGAACGTCTATCCCACTATATCAGAAAAATAAAAATAAAAAGTACCTCAATGCAGCGAGAGCCAATGCATTTGTTTATATCAAATGACACAGTTAAAGAGACATTACATTGCTCAACACCCACCCACGAATCTCACTCTTATTCCGAAACAAAGTACCAAAAATAAAAATCATTGCATAGAAATGAAGGTAAACATACTTAACTTCCAATATATTTCCCCATAACAGGCAAACAGCTACATCTAGTGGCAACAAAAAATATTAATTAAATGTTCTATCTAAAAAGTCAAATGTAGCACACCCGGCCAGGAGAGTGAATTAAATTAAATGGCGATTCAAATATGACACACCCAGCCGTGAGGTAATGTTCGATGTTGATGGACATATGACACGCCCGTACTCAATGGGTTAAAGAAGAGCAGATGCCTTCTGATTTAGGATTCCTGTGTACTCTGGCTAGAATTATGATTTATCCCCAAAAGTAAGAAGTGCCACAGCTGGGCTCTAGTGCAATTTAAGTTTTGCATAGGCATAATAATGAAATTATTTGTGGCGCAAAGAAGAAGGAACTATAAATTAATTGGCCTCTTTTCATATCATGTAGGAAAGTATGAGATTCTTGTAGTAAGCTGAATTTAAACAGTGGAGGAGGGAGTTAACAAATAATGTTTCAAAATATATATTTATGAGAAATAAATATTCATTGAATATTTGTTTACGTCACTTTTTCTTTCCATTTTTTTGGCTGATGTTAAATAAATGCCGTACAAAGTCCGGGAATGAAGTGTATAATAACAAAAGGAAGCAGGTGTCTCATAAATGCATTCCCCCCTAGACTAACTGATACTCTTGTATGCCATGTTCAGACACTTGTTGGCTAGGGAATCACACCATAGTCAGTAACAAAGCATTGATTAATGTTGGCCAGAATCACCTTTTCTGCTTTCTGGTTGTGTATGGGGATAGGGTCGGTACCACGTATTTTCCCACCTGATGCAATCTTTGCAGGTCCGTAATTTTGCTGCTTGATACCTCCCTAAATTATAAAAATACTGCCATTCCTAATTTTTGCTGCCTGTAAATTCTGATGTCTGGTGCAGCCACACTGGTTGTACTTGCTTTGGTGCCGGCCTGTTTGGGAAGGGTTGTCATTCTTTTATTTGACTCAAGCTATATAAGTGAAGCCCCAGTATTGGTATGTCGGCACATTATCTTACTACATTTAAACTCATGATCTAAGATATAGAAATTTCCAAAATCTGGAATCACTGAACTCTCAGGTATTCTAGATCTCTGACTTTGCAGTGAATGTTTAAAAGCTATCACTAAAACTTTCTTCTGTTCACTAGTGCATTAATTTTATTCAAGCATTTTCAAACACCTTTTAACTTTTTTTTTTGTAGTTTAATTTTTATATTTTTACACCTTGCATTTATTGCAGTAATTTTTTAATATTTTTGGGTTTTTTTTCATATTTTTTAAACATTCTTGTGTAGTCAAGTGAATATCAATCATATTTCAGAATAAAGGAGCGTTTGTGAAAGCAGAATTCTGCATGTTTCTGGAAGATTAGTGATATGTGTAGTATGTCTTATGTAGTTCATATTAAGTCATATTTTTAGTGTAATTGTAAGCAAGTAAATAGTAAATATATGCATATTTTAGAGTTCTAGATATGCTGCGTTTTCACAAATTCACAATTGGTCATGCTTGGGCATGTGACTTTGGTTCATCTGAAGAAGAAGATCATTTCCACAACTTACTAAAGTAAGACTTTTTAATTGCTGTGCATGTTATAGTGAAAAAAAATAATGCATTAGTAAAACGATAATTGTCTCGATTTATAAACACTGTAAAGTAGTTGAAGCCAAGTTTCCACCATAAATAATCATATATATGAAGTCATCAATATATTGATGTCACAAGTCACTGAAAATGATTGTGACCAAAAGAGGTAAAGTGTCTATAACAGTTTATTTGCATTTCCTGTATATTCCTACTGTTGCAGCATGCTGATGTACATGTTAAATCACTTATTGTATTGAAAGGTCCTTCACTGCAGAAGAACGAACATGGTTTGAAAATTCAAAATATTAAGTATATAATTTTATTTTAACTATGTAACAACTTGCTATCTAACTTCATTATTTATCGAAATTGTATTTATTATGTTTGTGAATTTCATTACGTAGGAAAATATTCCAAGATTTCTTCAATACTCATTGAACATGTTAGAATTGTTTTTTTTCCCACTCTTTTGTATTTTATCTAGAAATTGAAAAGATATTGTATCGATCTCTAGGGCTATCTAAGATATGAAAGAAAGTATTGCCATTTTTGAAAAGAGAATTGTGCATGATATAAATGAAAGAAGTGGTTGCTATAGAAGGAAAATGTGGAAAAGAATTAGATTATGTAAAATCCTTTGTCAGTCAAAAAATCCTTGCAATTTAATGAAAGGCTGAAATGAAATATGACAAATTTCTAGAACCCTATTCAAGCTGAGCCTTCTGAGACATGCTGTGGCACAGTCATCATCTTATATTCAAGCTCTTGCCATATGATGTAGAATTATCATCAGATGTTTACAAGATGTAATATAAATTAATATCACAAGCAAATTAATGGGACTTTATCTTCAGAATTTCCTATCTGGCAGCTGCTTTGTGAGAAGTGACCAACATATTACAGATCAAAACCTCATGAGATACGTGAATCTTAATGAATGCTTTAGAATTGTGATTTGGGGTAACATTTCTCAAAGATTATGAGCTTAAGACCAAGCCCCCCCCCCAAAAAAATGGAGAAACCCTTCAAGAATTAGTGACACAGATAAAAAATTGATTTAGCTAGCATCTCTGTATTCCAGTTATGATTAGAGAGGCATGGAGTCCAGTATTTTGTTGATCCTGTTGGGGATCTAGAAGTACAACAAGCAGTTCAAATACTGGACAATGAAGATTTGAAGAGCACTTAAATCAATTCTTTTGTTCCTTTTTTTTTTTTTTTTTTTTTTTTTTATTACCATAAGTGTGTAAGATGGAAAAGTGCAAATAAGATAGAAATATTTTATGCTGGCTATAAATTTTGAGTATACACTTCAATATGCTTGTAGATTTTTTTTTAAGGAGAAATGCTTATAAAATTAGAAAGTATAGAAATATTTTATGCTGGCTATAAATTTTGAATATACACTTCAATATACTTGTAGATTTTTTTTAAGGAGAAATTCTTATAAAATTAGAAAGTATTTTGATGCGAATAATTTTCTATGATAAGAACTTATTATTGACCGTAGATAAAATTCCCAAAAGCATAAGATGGATGGAGAACCTTATTCAGACTACTGATAGAAGTGGACATTTTTCTCCTTATTAAAACCGTGTATTTGAAAGTAACTTATTGCAAATGATAGAAAAGAAAAATTTTGTATCTGCAGTACTTGTTTGAAAGGATTAATTTAGTAATATCTAACTTTTAATGCTAAGAACTGCTAATATATTTCTAATAAACTTTTCTTCATTTTACCTGATAAATTGTGTCCATTACATACAGGTATTCCCCCTTGCATAATGTTAATGTTCCTAAAGATGAGAATATTCAGTATCCTGCAACATTGCTTCTAACTGCTGATCATGATGATCGCGTTGTTCCTTTACATTCCTTAAAGTTTATTGCAGAGTTGCAGTACAAGCTTGGGAACTGTAAGAAGCAGGTATTTGTTTATGTAAATTTATATTTTAGTGCCAGTATGTTATTATTTTTTATATATATGTATAGTTTCAAAGTAATTAAATAGATTTTTGTTGAGTTTTCATAACGATATTTTTAATTTATATGAGATATGAAATGTGTATAAACAAAAAGCAGTCACGGTTTTATATTTAGTTCCATGAATATGTCTGATTTAAATTTTATGATTTTTAAGTTTTGTACCAGATAGACTATCTAATGTATATGTGAATTTAATTTGTTATACTTATCAAGATACTTCTCATACATGCATACATACATCAAAACGTACACTTAACTAACTTAAAAGTTAGTATAGTAGAATTGTGCTTGTATAATATGTGCAATAGACACAATGAATTTGAAGTACTAGGAATTTTCCTAAATCATTTGGAGTTTTGTTAATGACAGCAAAATGTAATTAAATAAAGTTTGAGTTTTCAGTGGTTTTAAAGGTCTTAAATTCAGCCGTTGCCAGTTCAAGGACATAAATTGGAGATATGTAGGAGTTCAAGCCCGCCAGTGGCTGAGCGGCAAACTCATTGAACACTGGTAGTTTGGTTTGGGTTTGATTGCTGGTGAACAAGCTAGTTGCATGTACATTTTCATGGTCTTTCCCATGTGTAATGTGTATATAAGGAAATTTTCCTTATAAAGTCCTCCACAAAGGCATCCCTCCCCTTAGGCAGATGGCCCTTAAATATACTTTGCTTTAATTGAACTAAGCCAAACTTAGCAGTTCAAAAAAAAGATAAATTATTCATGCTTAACTGGCATACTTGTTAAAAAAAACCTCCTGTTTTTTTTAATTTATCGGAGGGCACTGTATCCAGGTTGATGCTTGTTTCTGTCCCCCCCTCCAAAAAAAAGAGAATCATATAGACTGAGTAATTGTTGTGGTAAGAGAAAGTTAGCGGAAAAGCATGTTAGACTGTTAAAAAGAATTGCGTACAAAAAACATGAAACAGTGACTACTCAAATTATTTCAGAAATCAGCATTCTTTTAAGCAAAAGCTACTTTTTGAGCTTCGTGGTTAGCTAGTTCATTATAGCCTTTGATAATTCTGCTGAACTGGTTTCATTGGTACTAGAACCGCCGACCGTGGATATTCTACTATGCAAAATGTGTCATAGCCTTATGAGCTCACCTACGTTGTTGCTTCTGAGAGAATCCTTCATAGGCATATAATCCAGGCAGTTTGATGTCCAGAGTAAAGCATGGAAGTGGATTTTTTATGCTTTATGCTGCAATATGATGGAAATCTGGAGACTGATTTTTTTTAGTCACATCGCTGTCAAGGACTGTTAGTGCATTCTAGAGGACTAACAACAACAAGATTTGGGAGTTCCCTGCTCCGTGAAGTCAATCACACTAGAGGTCCACTTCCCCTTTGGGCACTTCGTGGAGGTTCAACTTCCACTATTACCCTTCCAGGGGAGCAGCGCACCACCTGAATAAGACACCAGGCAGCACTGGTCGTCAATTGCTCCTGCCAGTTGCATGGGCGAGCCCGCCACAGAGGGCTGTTACCCAGCAAACGGGGGGGACCCCCCGGCTACGAATCCAACCGCTCAGGACATGCCAAACCCCAAGGCCGACCAATGAGTGACCTTTCCCAAGGCCTTCAGAACCACTAAGTTCATAAATTTTATACCCTCGTGGCCAAGACTGCCCAGGTACAGATCCTAGTCAGTAGCTTGGCAGAATTCTCTACGTCGACCCGCGCGGGGGGGGGGTCTAGAGGGCTAAATCCATCCAGTTGTGTTGTAGAGACATTAGGTATTTTTTTGGAAGCACACAGCATAAAAAATTAGCAACGCCTTCGCTGGGAATCGAACAGTGGACCTCTGAAATATGCCCCAGTGTGCAGACCAGCACACCACGAAGGCAGGGCAAGAAGGTGGGAGAAATACCTTATATACTCCCCCTTTTAAAGGGTGACTGGGGTTTTTAGGATACCCAATTGCCAAATTCTGGGTATAGAGAACCATCATCCAACACCCTTTTAGTTCGGGTGCCACTGTAGAGACATTAGTTTTTTTTTGAAGCAGACAATATAAAAAATTAGCAATTCATTTCGCCGGGAATCGAACCGCGGACCTCTGGAATGCGGGCCTAATGTGCAGACCGCCCCACCACGAAGGCTAACTGATTGGTTAAGATTTGTATCTGTCATTTGCAAAATTTGGCTTTCTGTGTATTTATAAGGAATTACACTCCAGATGCAGCTGTTTAAATTCTGTTGTCCACGCCCGACATGCAAAAGCAAAATAAGCATAATTTGCCTTATATGCTTGCAAGGAGTAACTAGTCATTCCCCCCCCCCACATGATGCTTAAAATGATTGCAATTAAAAACTGCTTCAGAATCAGTTGCAAATACACATCCTGTCTCAAATTGCAATTACTATAGCATGAAAATCTATAAGAGAATAAACACATTTAACGAAATGTACACTGCACAAAAAAAGGAGGAACAGTTCTATTTCTCCTGTTCTACTGGGACGATTGACGAAATTCAACTTGTGTTTTTCATGTCACGATAGCACGACTTAGGATATGTATTAGATTTATATATATAGCATTGCTCTAATAAAGGTATTTTGACACAAAAGCAGACTATTTATGAACTAATATACTAATTTTTTTTCCATATTTCCATTCTACGACTCTATGCCAAACTACCATTTTTTGTAAAAAATCGCACAAGTATTTTTTTTAAAAAATCATTAATTTTTATTTTAAAAACTACTCTTTTTAAATTTTAAACTAACTTTTAAATTTTAAAAACTACTTGTGCGATTTTTTACAAAACTCAGCACTCAAACTTTTAGCTCCCTAATGTTAATTGAGTTTGGTATATATTTATTAGTCTCTCTTTTTTTTATTAAACTTACTTGATTCTTCCTTTTACAGTTTGAAAGTAGGTTCATTCCAAATAAAATTCACCCATTTTTCATGATTTATTTTAAAAATTGTATTTTTAAATAATTTTTATAATTTTTTTTTTTTAATTTTGAACTATAATCTATAAAATTTTTACCATCATCTTAAAGTAGACGTATTTCTAAGAATACCTGCAAAAAATTGCAGTTTTTTATTGAAAATTTCCAAAGATATACGTGAATTTATTGGGACGTTTTGAAATTTGGCATATTTGTAGAAAGTGCTAAAACATCAAATGGGGTTTAGACACTTTGCTAAAATTATTTGGAAGTATAAACGATGTGACTTTTTTCCTGCTCACGCATAATGTAAAAAGGTAGGAAGGAAGTGCTTTTTTCCCCACTCCGGCATAATCGAAGGGAAAGGAAAATTATTTGCCACATATTAAGAAGTTCAAGTGAATTAATTATTCTTGCAGAAAACTGAAAAATTGTGCCAAGATAAATTTTTGAATTTCTCCACAAGTTTTGCACCAAATTTTACAAAATATGATATCTAGACATAATTTGAATTGTAGAATCAAAATATGGAAAAAATTGGTACGTTATGTCAGAAAAAAGTCCGATTTTGTGTCAAAATACCTATGTTAGAACAATACTATGTATAAATCTAATATATATCCTAAGTTGCGCTTTCAAGACATGAAAAAAGCAATTTGAATTTTGTCAATCTGCCTAGTAGAACGGAAGATATAGAACTGTCTCCCCCCTTTTTTTTCCTTACTTCTGATACTAGAATCTTTTTCTTAACATTTTCATCTTCCCTTTATTTTCTCTACTTCTTACTAGATATGAGCATGGAAATTATCAGAAATGCTTCTAATCTTATCAAATTGGCAGGCATTATAGAAAGAAATTTTTTACCGATAAAGAAATTGAAAACTGACAATTTAAAAGATTCATCTAATATGTCTTTATGCATTGTACACAGAACTGGCACTAGGCATTTTCCCACCTGATGCAATCTCTGTGCATCCTAAATTCTGCTGCCTATTGCCTTTTTAACTTATGCTTCCAATGCCTGCTCTAAATTCTAAAAGTTTTGCCATTTCTAGATTTTGTTGTTCCATGTGTCACTAAATTGTAAAATTTCTGCCACACCAGGTCTGTCACCGGCCTTTACCATATATATTTCATATTTCTTCTGAATGTTCATATTACTAAAGAAATAAAATTAGCCACTTTTTCTATATATTCTAAATGCATTTAGTGTTTTTTTAGAAAAACAGAAATGCTTAATTAAACCTTAAAATGAATAGGTAAAGTGTTGTAGAAAGAAACTGAATACATGGAGAAAATTATTCTTCAAAGATATGTGCAGTTAAGTAAATTCCACAATTGTTTATGATTTCAGCATTTACTATAATTTTCCATTTCTATTTGCTCAAATGATAGAATTTTACTGAGCCAGATAAAGCATCATAGACATCATAGACACGACTGGCACTTATGCATTTTCGACCTGGTGCAGTCTTAAATTCTGCTGCCTGGTGCCTTTCTAATTTCTGCTTCCAGTGCCTGTTCTAAATGCTTAAAGTTTTGCCATTTCTAGATTTTATTCTTCGGTGTGTCACTAAATTCTGAAAATTATGCCACATCAGCTTTGTAACCGGACGTTATCATCTGTATTTCATATTTCTTCTGAATGCTCATATTAAGATATTACTAAAATTAGCAGCTTTTCTTGTACATTCTAAATGCATTTATTTTATTTAGAATAACAGAAATCTTTAATTAAATCCAAAAATTCTAAAATGAAAAGGAAACGTGGAAGAAAGAAACTGAATACTTGAAGAAAAAGAAAAGTATTCTTTAAAGATATGTACAGTTATTATTATGTAAATTACCCAATTGTTTACAATTTCAGCCTTTACTATAATTTCCCATTTCTATTCCCTCACCAGAATGCAAATCACTTAGACAGTTTTTAAACTGAGGTTTTTGGAGTGTAAGACAAGAGAGTGTTTCTGACCTCCACTTGGTCCCTGCATTAGTTCCTACCAGCTCTGATAATTTGTAATTATTTGTCTTTGCATTATCGCTGCCAACATTTGAGTTTGTTATGACGATAGAGTTACTGAGCCAGCTCAAAATGAAATTAAGTTTTATAGTCTTTGACTTTTAGTCGATAATTTTAGTTTCAATTTGACTCTTCTTGTTTAATTACATCACCACAAGCTGCAGTTGATTTTGTTAGCATAAGAAGATGCCTCTATATTCTAAGTTCTTTTTAAATAAGAAGCTTATTTAAACCTTTGTCTGACTTCATAGTTACTTTTAGACACGACGATAATTTGCTTCATATCTGCCAGCGGTTTTGGGACTATTTAACTTTTACCAGATCAAATAAACCCTCATAAGTACATTGTTGAGAGGTCAACAGGTTAGGAGATAAAACACACAGAAACTAGTGAGGACATTCTTTTGCGTATTGAGACAAATTTCTAATTGTTAGAAAAGATGCTTAAAGAAAAGGAAATCGGTATAAATTACCCAAAATGTCTGGAAAGGCTTTAAATTAAAAAGACGCATAACTATTTTGTTGAGTGTTATTTCTACAAAACATAAATGTTTTGTAGGTTTCAATGTGTAATTATCCTAATATCATTTTGGAATCAGTGTCATAAATAGGTATTTCAAACCGTGAAATTTCATTAGACTGTGATTTTAATAGGGCTTTTTTTAACAAATATTGTTAAAAAATAAATAAAATTTAATAGTGGCCATGTAAATCCATAGTGACTAAGGTTATCTAATACCTAATTTAATTATTTATAACTAACTGGTTCCCTTTAATTCATTCATTCAAAGCATTGTCCTTTACCAATGATTAATTTTTATACTGTGGAGTAGAAGTCGTAATTGGTCACATCCTATGATATTTGCATATATCCTTTTCCATCCAAAATGAGTTTCATTGAATGAAATTGAACTTTGCATTCGAAAACTGAGAATTTGTATTATGTGCTTAATTTTTAAAAAGTAGTGTGGAAAGATTAATAGTAAACTTTAAGTACAATTGCCATTTCTTTGTGACTCAAATGGAGATTTATAAGAATTTTTCTGAAAATGTGTTCCTTGAAACCAACCATTTACTCTGTGAAAATTGACCATGCCAAGAAATAGGAGACTGAATGAATTTTGAAGTAACAGGGAAAATATTTGCTGTCAGGTATCATGAGGGTTTTTTTTTTTAATCCTCCAAAATCGTGCCATTATTGCAGTATTGCTATGGCTGATGTTAATGCTTTGTCTTTTAAGGCATAAAAAATTATCGATAGGAGGAGCTGTTAGGAATTTAATTTTTAAGAAATTTTGCATGACAAATATCTTTTGTCTACTCTTAAGACTTGAAGGACCTCCTGTATCCATTCCAAACACTTTGAATACAGAAGTTTCAGTCATATTTATATAAAATGCTTTCAGTTAAATGATCTTGCTTCTTGGTATGGCGGATAAGCTGTATCATATAATACATGTCTAGATAATTTTCTTAACTACGCTTTTGACTTTTAATATCCCATAGTTATTCCTTAATGCAGCAGTTGAAGTTTGAGCTACACAGTCCTAGTAATGTCTGTATCTTTTCTTAAATTCTATATTCTGTTAAGTTTTACAAATTTTAACAATTTTGTCATCTGCATTAAGCTGCGTTCACACTGGTCTGTTAGGGCGGCAAGCGTAAAAAACGCTTTCCGCATATGTCAGTTCACACCAGCGCTGCAACTTTCGCTGTAAAAGTTGTCATATGTTTGCACAAGATGGCACTTCATATCGGAAACTTGGGAGGGGGAGGAGGGAACAAGAAATTTTTTGTGTGGTATTTTGACTTTTTGCGATTACATTTTAAAATTAAAATGGATTTAATTTCTGCTCCATTAAAAGTTATTTTACTTCTTGCTTTGTGTAAGAGAAGCAGAATACAGTGGTTTATATTAATATGTGAGAGATGACTGCAGTAAGGAGATGCAAATAATTTAATTTGAAGAAATGCACTTGAACAAAACGAAATTTCCTTTAATTACTTTCGTGTGACACCTCATCAATTCAATGAATTTCTAGCTCTCATTGAACTATTTATTCAAAAGCTGAACATTAGCTTTTGTCAGAATATTGCAGAAAAGAATCGTTTGAAGGTAGGAATAGGATATCCCAGAAAAGGATCATTGCATATATCAAATGCTATATATAACTAATTTTAATTTATTTATGAATTTTGTTGAATGATAATTAAAAAAATCCTAATTGCATGATTCTATATTGGAGAGTAAATTTTACATGTGGTAGAATACCATAAATGTTTTCGCATGATGTATAAACTTCCCTTAAATGCTTCATTAAATAATCTTCCCTTAATTGGTTTAAATAATGCAGTAAAAAAGTATATTTTGTTTAAATGTATGTAGGATTTATATCATTACTAAATTAAATATCACACTTAAAAAAAGCAGTTATTTTTAAGTTAATAAATATCAATTATTTTAAAAATATTTTAGTTTTTGCCTTATGTACATAGTTTTCTACCTTAAATGTAACAGTAATTACTTCAATTAGTCATTCATATATTAATGAACAGCAACTATCTAAAGGTTTATTTTATAAGGTCACTTTTATCTAAAACTCATTGAAGTAACTGTATTTTATATAATGATACTTCTTTTCCTGCGTTAGAAATTGAATTCCACAATTAGCAAATTTGCGAATGCTCATGTAAAAGTTTTTTAATTACCGTATTTGACGGCATGTAAGACGCATTTTCCCCCTAAATTTGGTCTCAAAAAAGTTACCTGCGTCTTATACGTGAAGGTAATTGCATTCAGTAATTGTTTATTTGGCTTTTACGAAACAGGAGAACTAAAAGAAACCACGCTATTGAAACTTTTTTCCCTTGTGTGTTGCCATCTAAATAAGGGTGCGTCTTATATGCCGTCAAATACGGTAATGAAAAACTATCATCAAGATTAAACCTGTCGAAAAGTGGTCATGCATGTTAAGAGAAACAAGCATGAAGCCATTAAAATGCATAGAAGTATTCCATGAAATCAGATACGTACTAGCGAGTTTCTTTTTCTGTATAAATAACAGTTTTCTTAATTTTGTTAAACAAATGGTTTACTCATCACCGCTCCTTTGAAATTCAAAACTCACTAATTTCTTTAAGTAGATGAAACCACAACTTTATACTAATACCAGTATCGCTTTGCTAGTTTTGTGTCAGCCAAAATAGAATCAAATCACAGTAATCAGATCTTATGAATTATACAAAAGGCTCGTTGTCAAAAGAAGGTTAATGCACACAATGCCTAGCGAAAGTTAAATTTGTATGAATAATGAATGAAATGAAAAATAAGTGCACATTTTTGTGTGTCCCCCCCCCGCCCCCCCCAAAAGTTGCGGTAGATTAAATAAAAAATATATATATTTGTACCATCATCAAAGGTATGAAAAAGCAAGGCCAAAGTAAAAGCTGAAGTTTTTACTTGAGCATGTTACCTCCACGCTAAGGTACCTTTCGGGTAGGCATCATTTTCACACTTCTTCAGAAAACTGAAGAAGCATCTGGGCTACTCTGAAACTAGCCATAATATTTTCTGTAAATAAAATATATTTTTAAAAATACAATTCCTTTACAACACCACTCTAGTGACGCTTGAATCCAAAATTTTTGAACTCAAGAAGCCAACATTTTATCCACTAGGCAACAAGATCAATCTTTTTTATATTTTATTAATCAATTAAGAAAAATTCAGAGTCTGGGATTTCAAAATCCATCACTATTTTCTTGCAACAATCTATTGCTTTAGATTATTCTGTAAAAATTATCAACCATATATCTTTATGGTTGATTATTAAGGTTTATTACTACTAATAAACTTGAGAATTTTTCTCTAAATAATTTATAAAGCTATTTATTCTATTAGCATATGCATTTTTTTTTATTTAATCAGAAATTTTTATTAAGATTAGTCCATTTGACTTTTTTTTCCCCATCAAGAATTTTTGAAAGTGAAATCATTTAAAAAGCATGGTATTAACTGGACGTTTGAAACAAGATGCCTGAAGCTGACACGTCAAAATATTGAAGTTGAGTCAACTCACGCGGTCTCCAGCCATCCGGCAAATACCGCTTCTGATTGATTAACGCTTTATGTACGAATGCGTGAGAGTGTAGGTGTCAACGCAGCTAGTTTTATTATCTAAAAGAAGAGCCAAAGAAAAATGCTTTGACTAAAATTTCCACAATTTGAATTGTAATAAGTGAATAGAACATGTCTGTGACTGTATAATGTATGATTGCATACATTCAAATTATGTTTGCCATTAGTTATCTAATTATTGTGGAAAGATAATTTCACTGTTCCTAGAATTAGAGGACAAATTAATTTTTCTACTTAGAGTAAAACTGCTATTAAACAAATGGAAATTTTGTTTGGCAATAGTGTGAATTTTTTTATAATTTTCTTATTAATTGCTTTGTTATATTTAGTTCCTTCTTTCAATATACAGGAAAATCCAATTTTGATTAATGTTGATGTTGAGAGTGGACATGGTGCAGGAAAACCAACTTCAAAAGTTGTGAGTACATTTTATTTATTTATTTTTCAAGTGTGATACACGAATTTATAATTCAGAGTGTTACTTTTTAAACAATTTCATTTAGAATTTGTGATGTAAACATGTGTAATTTGCATGATTTTAAATAGTTTTTAAATAAGAATAAATTATAATTGTTATTAATAAAATAGTAATATTTATTTATTTATTTTACAGATTGAAGAGTATACGGATATTTTTTGTTTCATGTGTAATGCCTTAGGACTTTCTTACCAAGAGTAATTGTTTTTTATACTACTCAATATTTACAATAAAAGTTTCTACATTGCCAGTTTATTCAGAGATGTCTTTTTACTTGATTCTTGTTTAAAATACCTCTTATTTTAATACAAACAATTTAGAAACATTACATTAATGGAGTTTGAACTGCACTGAAATTATAAAAGCAGTGCAAGGAACATGAAGCCCCAACCAGTTAGTTTGATGAAACCTCTGTATGTGCTAAATGATTTTAGGAATTATCAATTTCTGCTGCCTACCCTAGAAGTTACATTAAAACAGATGTTCTCAATTTAATTTGTAAATTTCAAATTATATTGAAACTACACTCATGTCCATAAATTAAGGATAATGCAAAATCAGGCAAAGGAAGAGTTAGAAGCAAAACAAATTTGACTTATTTGTAAAGCTTATTTATTAAACAAAAGGTAAAGAGCAAAAGAAGATGCTATATGTTTGATATTATTAAAAAAATTAGCGATTTTTTTCTCCTTGGAGCAAATTACAAAAAAAAAAAAAAAAAAAACCTATTTCTAAAAAACCAATATTACATGGTTGATATGATTGTTAATACATTGTATGTCTCCCAGGTGATGCAATACAGTCTGTACAACGCCTAGGCATGCTGAATATCTAATTATCGATCTGATCTTGGGGGATATTACACCACTCAAAAAGCAATGCTCTCCGAAGTTCCGGTAGACATGTAAGAGGAGGTTAAGGGGCTGCAACTCGTCGGCCAAGCATGTCCCACAAGTGCTCTACTGGATTCAAGCCCAGTGAGAATGCTGGCCAGTCCATACGGGTGATATCCTCCGAATGAAGGCATTCGCTTACGATGTTTGCACGGTGAGGACGGGTGTAGTCATCTATAATTACAAATTGTGCGCCCATGCCGCCCCGAAACAAACGTACATGTTGTTCCAGAATGACGTCCCGATAGATTTGGCTTGTCATGGTTCCAATTTGAACATGCAGGTCAGTTCTGGAACCCAGAATAATTCCACCCAAAACGAGCACTCCTACATCACCGTAACGGTGTCATTCAATGATGTTTTCTTCATGGTAACGGGTACCTGGAGCTCTCCATATGAAAGTCCGGCGAGAATCAGACTGCAAGCTAAACCTGGATTTGTCAGAAAACATCACACAAGCCCATTTTTGCGGTGTCCACAATGCATGCTCTCTACTCCAGGCTAACTGCAGGCGACAGTGAGTTGCAGTAAGTGGAACGTATCTGACAGGTCTACGAGCATATAGACCAATCTGCCCTAAGCATCTGTACACGGTCTGCCTTGAAATTGTCGTACCAGTGGCTGAAGAGAGCTAACGAGACAGTTCTGAGGCTGTGCTCCGCCTGTTTCTTTTGGCAGTAACTGCCAAATTCCGGTCCTCATTCAGCGTTGTAACTCTGGGGCCACCTGTGCTGTTACGTCTACTCACATTACCATCATCTTGGAATCATTGCCAAAGCCTGGAGATGATGCTCTGGGCAATTCCAAGTTCCAGGGTTGCCATGCTACCTGGAAAACTGGGAGAACCGGGAAAGTCAGGGAATTCGAAAATTGACCAAAAAATTCAGGGAAAAGTCAGGGAATTTAAGTATTTTTGTCAAAATCTGGAAAAGTCAGGGAAGTTCATACAATGATCCCGCCAAAAAAAAAGCGATTTTTTTGCGTCGACGTCGGAAGAGAAGAGATAACTTTTTTGGCGAATTGCCTATCACGTGAGTGTCTGCTGGCATAGAGCCAATTTTCGCAGCTCCAATTTGATTGCCTTTTAGAAAGGCAAAGCAAGTTTCCCGCAACTTTTGGTTTCCAGTATTCTCGAGAATCGCAGTTGCAGTGCATGAACTAAAGAAAGTTACCTGTTCTTGTATAAAACAAAATGGGTTTGTTTTAATCTTAGTATACGGTACCATGGAGGTTAGAATCAAAGAATATGTATTGTAAAGAAGGAAAACCTCTCTGCACAACAGACGTGGCTCCGTTCCATCATAGAGGGAAACAGCTGTGCATGCGTGATATATCTGCCGCCAAAGCTGGAAAACCGGTTGGTGTCGAAGTTCAAAGGTCACGTTATCAAGAGTTCATTAAATGAATATCCTTTAAAATTTCTTTAACCACTTGCGCTAAAAAGACGTGCCACGCACGTCGAGATGTTTTTGTCTCAAACTGCGAGCGACGTGAACACCACGTCGCTAAGCATTTATCGCAAAAATGAAAATAACATGGTGCACACGTCGCCTAACAACGAGATTGTTTATTTCTCGAGTTACAGCTCTGGATTGCACTCGCAGATGCGGAGCATCGTAAATGAGACACTTTACCACTTGCTATATTGTAGCGCACGGCACCGCAACCGTGAAGTTTAGTCTTAGCGCAAGTAGTTAAACTCTAAATTAAAAGAAAATATTTTTGGTGCAAGTAAATTAATTCATAGATTAGTAATTTTCAGGGGGGGGAAATACGAAAATCCGTTTTTAAAATTGTGAAAAATCCAAGAAGAAACGTCCTTTGATAAAACGTTTCTTCTTGGATTTTTCGCAATAATTTAAAAACGGATTTTTTTAGCTTTCTTTTTGTCAAAGAACGTTCTTCTTAACACGTTTCTCAATTTCCGGTACACATCGCGGAGAGGGAAATTCTGGCCGCCAGGTTCCGTCGCCGAATCCCTTGGCAAATTTTCCCTCCGCATTCTAGCGGCGTAATAGCATTTTACTTGTATGGAAAATTTTTTCTTCTTTACATAGACCAACGAATTAGAGATTCTTTGCATAGACGTTTTTGGTTGGTTAAAATAATCTCCCATGTATGGATTTGGCGACATGATGATGCGCAGTAAACGGGTCATTTTGGTCTTGGCGACAATTTTCAAAATCGTGCCAAAGCCTTACCGTTTATACTACAAATTTTACCGCAAAATCTTTTTTTAAACTTTTCTTTTTTAATAATAACCTTGCCATTTTGCAGTAAAATAAAAAATAGTAATCTGTCATCTAGGCTAACCATGTAATATAACTATATTTGCTAAAATATCGTTGATTATTCTAATTCAATTTTTAAGTAAGTATCATTATTTATTTTTATGTTATTCGTATAATTTAATGATGCTTCTTCCCTCTAAATTTATTAATTATTAGTAAATAATATTTCTAAATTTCAGGAAATTTTCTCTGGCATAATCTTGAAATTAATTCTAGCAGTATGATGATGACATACCATCACGAAATTTAATGCACATATTTTTTTCTTATGTATGCTGCGAACTAAATATAGAATACCTCAATTTATTAAAATAGATTTTTTGTTTCGTTTAGCTGCAGAATGTCTGCAAAAAAAAGCCCTATTTATTCCAGATTGGGAAGATTCTAATCTCAATCTTCAATGGAGAAAACAAAACAAGAACTATTATAATTATATTTGTGTTTTCAAGTGTTAAGGTGCTTTTTAAGAACATACCTCACACAAATTAAATTTACCTAAAATCTAACCTAACTATTTAGCATTGCGTTGTGATTTATAAGGACTGGATTAGCCTCGTGTTGAACTGGTGATGATCATGAGTAATAATTAAATAAAACATACATTTGTTATCCAATGTATATATCTTAAATTTTATTAAGTTTCTTAAGTGGAAAAGTAAACAAAATTATCAAACAAAGTATACCAAGAATAATTAAGAATAAATGTCCTCTGGGATTTATTGAATAATTAAGTGAATTTGCTACACAATACAAGTAATATCATAATTTACCTCTTAGCGTAGCCAACGTACATTACGCGGATAGACTGGAATTTTCTTGAAACGCACCTGGAAAACCTGGAAAAGTCAGGGAATTTCATTCTCCTGTTTTAGTGGCAACCCTGAAGTTCGTCTGATACTTCCAGTTGGGTACGCCCACATTCCAGACGGCCGATAATTCTACCATGTAAAATATCATCCAAATGCGTCCTTTGTGTCATAACTATTCGGTTATTGCACTGAAATGCTTATAAAGCGCCTGCGAACAATTTTACTTCTTTGCCTGTATTCCTTATATATCACTCTCTTACACTCTCGTCGTTGTTTGTGACGTACCATCGGTGTCATCTGGTTACTTCCTGAAATTTGCATATGATTCTTGAAGATGTGTGTAGTGATTTTACAGGTGATATATCTATTTTAGAGTTTGATTTCCACGTGACTCTGAATTATCCTTAATTTATGGACATGAGTGTATATATTGTAATCTCTTTATGTCCTAAATCATTATTTTAATAAATACTGAATGTGGGATATATAGAGGGATTGCACAATGTACCATAATAGGTAAACTTTAGATTCTTCAGTTGCTCATTTCCTGAAACTTTCTTTGTAAACTCTTATAACTTTTTTTTTTTTTTTTTAAGTTAGTATGGGAAGGCATTTGTTGATAATTAAGCGCTGTATCTTTTCAGTATTGTGTAGTGTCTCCCAATACACATTATCTCATTATCACGACCCAAAAAAGTATGTTCCTCGTTGACCGACGTTGTTGATTCCTTTGGAACATTTGAAAAAAGATGTTAGGTTCCAAAAAATGACTCGTTATGCTTCTTTTGTGTTCAAGCATATGGACGAAAATCCTTATACTTCTGTTTATGTATGATGAGATGGAGTGGAAGATGGGAAGAAGAATTTCAAAAGATTCTTCTCAAGGATAAGGAAAAGAAGGAGGGGGAATTACATAAAGTGAGATTGGTTGATTTTTTACAAAGAACGGAAAAGGAAATATGTAAGATGATCAACAATGAAGAAGTGTAAGTGATCGCGATTGATGATGATGATAATGCATCTACAGAAAAAACTTCATCTTCGGGGCCAGGATCAGGAGATCGTTTCATGGAACCTTTACAAATTGATCCGGGAAAACATTTGATGGAGCCTCTTGTCGAGCTCCAAACTCATACAGGAAAGCATTTGATGGACTCTTCAATACCTCTGAAAACTCAGCCAGAAGATCATTTGACCCCTTTGCAAAGTCATCCAGGAAAGCATTTGATAGAGCCTCCTGTCGATTCTGAAAAGCCCTCTGT